GAGCAGAGCCCAGGACTGCGACTCCTCAGCCCTACCCGTTACATACGCCATACACACACACCACCACCACCACCCCGGGCCGCCTACCTCCTGGGCTCTGCCCCCTCCGTGGCCCTCCACCACCACCACCACGGGCCGCCTACCTCCTGGGCTCTGCCCCCTCCGTGGCCCTCCACCACCACCACCCCGGGCCGCCTACCTCCAGCACGGGATTAGAGAGCAGCAGCCTGTCGCGGGCGATCTGCAGGGACTCCGTCATTGGGCAGGTCACGGCGAAATACTGGAGGATTTTCTTGGAGGCCTCTGTCTTCCCCGCCCCGCTCTCGCCGGAGATGAGGATGAAGTGATTGCTGAGCTCCGAGCACATCAGGCGGTATGCGTTGTCCGCTATGGCGTAGCTGCGGAGCCGGGGGGGCAGAAATGGGGGCCGGGCGGCCGTGTCAGGACTCATCTCCTGGGCTCTGACCCCCAGCAGAGCGGGACAAGGTGCCCGGCTTCCAGACTGGCCCGAGGGCTAGGAGCTCACAGATCACACACAGGGGCCACGAGACCACAAAACTCCAATCACGTCAACCCAGAAGGGCCCGTTGGGTGGCGTGGTTCCACTGAGGGGAAAGTTCTAGAATGGCAAAATGCAGAGAGCAACGCTTATCAGTGGACGGGGGTGGGCATGGGAGAGTTCTCAACACCAAACCCAAACACACTGCCACAGCGCTCAGCTGAGAACAGGAAGGTTGGCAGTTCAAACCCAGCCAGAAGCTCTGTGGGGCCATGTGCTCCCAGAGAGATGGCAGCCTGGGAAATTCTGGGGGGGCAGCTCCGATGTCACTCGGGGTCAGCGCGCATCAATCGCTTCCCCAGCACCTGACAATGTTGTTGAAGGAGTACCGAGTTTGGCAACCACGGAAACCACGGCCACGGATGGTGCTGACCCTGGGAACAAGGACGTGAATGCCACAGGTGCCACTGGATGGATGGAACATTTAGCCACAGACCCTGGGGATGTTACACGGCATGATGGACGGCACTGGTGTCGAGGAGTTGGCAATGCTATCAGGAGCCCGGGTGGCATCGTGGTGATGTGCTGGGCAGTTGGGTTTGGCACATGTGTCTTCCCTCATCTCTGCTTCCTTTTTTTTTTTTAATAATTCATTTTATTGGGGGCTCTTACAGCTCTTATAACAATCACACATCAATTTTCTCGAGCACCTGTGTCCATGGGTTGCCACCATCATTATTAAAATGTTTTCTTTCTCCTGGAGTCCTTGCTACCACATCTCTGCTTCCTTAATTTGCTCCTGCCAGGTCTTGTTAGAGATTGATTCAACACCCCAAACCCAAACACACTGCCATAGTGTTCACGCCAACGCAGAGTGAGCCCAGAGGACAGGGCAGAACTGCCCCGGTGTATCCCAGGCTGTACATCTGTATCGGAGTCGAAAGCCTCACCTTTCTCCCACGGGGCGGCTGGTGGTTTCAAACCGCTGCCTTATGGGTCAGCAGCTCAACTCTTAAATAGCAGGGCTCCTGACTCTACACACAGCCTACAGGAGGGCCATCTCGTTGACACAGCAAAGACAGCCCATATCCAAATCATAATAATCAGTCATTAGACCAAAGCCCAAGCTCACTCACATCGGGGTCATGGGACAGAGTAGACCTGCCCCAATGGGCTTCCAAGGCTGCCACACGCCACCCTGGTTAGGGAAGCAGATCACACCTCCCGCTCCCACGGAGAGGCAGGCAGCCTCACCCTGCTGACGTCATCGTTAACAGCCAAGCCCTAACCACTGTATGGACAGGTTTTGATTTATAGCACATCCATGTGTTTTTCTTTGGGGGTGTGGGGAGGGGGGGTAGACACAACTCCAAGGACGACGGCTCTGCGGGTGCTACTTACACATGTGGGGGCAGTTCGAAGAAGTTGACCCCTTGGTAAAGCCCCATCTGGTTCTCGGTGTAGATCCCCAGCTCCTGGTACGGATTCACGGACACCAGGAGGGTCCCGATGTATGTCTAGAGGGATGGACCAATCGGCTTGTCAGGGATCCTGGGATCTGCTGTAACAGCCACAGCAGAAGACCCTCACACCGGTGGCTCCCGTGAGGCCCAGGTGGAGATCAGGTATGGGGGATGGGGGCACCTACTGCTGTGGGGTTTCCACGGGGCGAGGGGTGGTGGTGGTGGGGCAAAAAGCAGGGGATCCCAGAGAAGAGGTAAGAAGGGTGTGTGCAGGGCGGGGCGAGAGCCAGTGACTGAGGAAGGCAGCCAGCGTGCTGGCGTGGGGTCACTTCTGAGTCTTAGTGGCTCTAGGGGACAGAATTGCGCTGCCTCCCTGGGCTGAAGGGTGCTTTAAGAAGGTGACATCTGGACTGAGATTTGGGGGCGGAGGAGCACGCTGGGAGTAAAGGTGGGGTAGGCAGGCTGGTGGCAGGAGTGGCAGGACCCAGTGAGGAAAGGGTGGGGGGACAGGATGGCAGAGAGGGGGTGAGTTTCCGATCAAGCAAGAACTGGGGTTTTTGTTCAAAACACAATGGAGGGTGGAGCCCCTCCCCTTACAGAACTACCTGCCTGAAATACGCCTTTATATGTGAGCAACACACACATCTCAGAGAGAAACTCACTGCCTACTCGTAAGAATCCCATAGGACAGGGTCGAACTGCCCCCTCTGTGGGGCTCAGAGACTCTTTCCAGGAGTAGAAAACCTCATCTTTCTCCCTCAGAGCGGCTGGTGGGCTCCAACTACTGACCTTTCGGTTCGCAGCCCAACCTAGAACCGCTCTGCCACCAGGGCTGGAAACTGTATCCCAAGGGATGGCTTTCTGTTGCCCAAGGGGCTCCCGGGCCACGGGGTGGAAGCAGGGGGCGTGCAGGAGGGAGTTGTAAAAGTTCGTGGAAGAACGGAATGAAAAGAGAATGGAATCTTTCCGCGCACTTTTGGAAGCCCCCACCCAACCACCCCCGCTGATAAAGGAGCCCCCTAACGCTGAGCAGCTGTGGCCATCTCTTCAGGTCCCGATGTCAGAGTCCACCCATGTCCACAAGTTGTTCAAGGACTAATTACTGTAGCGTCGAGGTGCCATGGAGTCCGCGCCGGCTCAGAGACCTTGTGTCCAACTGGAAAAACCCTGCTTGGTCCTGAGCCCTCCTCCCCGGGGTCCCTCGGAGCCCACTGTTGAGCTACCACCCGTCCATCTCCTCGAGGGTCTTCCTCTGTTCCGCTGCCCCGTGACTCCCAGGCAGGACGTCCTCCTCCAGGGACTGGTCTCTCCTGACAACATGTCCAAAGTACGTGAGACCACCTCTCGGCCTTCCTCTCACCTCTAAGAAGCCTCCTGGCTGTATTTCTTCCGAGACAGATCGGTTTTTGGTTTTTCGTTCGGCAGTCCAGGGTACTTTCCAAGATTCGTCGCCGTTCAAGGCACTGGTTTTTCTTCTGTCTTGTTTCACGCAATGGCCGACTCTCACGCACACGCGAGGCAAAGGAAAGCGCCATGGCTTAGGTCAAGAGCATCTCCGGCCTCGACGTCACATCCCTGCTCTTCAGCACTTTCAGGTCTTGGCAGCGGCCCTCACAGGCAGGGCAAAGGATCGTTGGATCTTGACGGCTGCCTCCATTGGCACCAATTGTGGGTCCAGGCGAGACAAACAAATCCTTGGCAACTGCCGTCTTTTCTCCATTGATCATGCCACCACCAACTGGTCCCCTGGTGAGGACGTTGAGTGGTCATCCACACTGAAGGTGGAAATCCTAGATCGTCACCTGCAAGCGTCCAGTCCTCGCTCTGAGCAACGACCGACACACACCTGTCATCCTGTCCCATGCAGAAGACGTCTTGAAATGTGTTTATGAATGAACGAATCTTTGAGCTCATATAGAGAAAACAAACTTTCAGGTTTCTGCGGTAGTTCCATAACCTGGGGTCGACCTGAGACTATACGCGTGAAGCGGAGTGTAGCCTATCACTCAGGTCACAGCTGGATGACCTCATGGAGGAGCTAAGGAGATAAATAGCTCCCCGGAGTCAGGACACACACTCACTCCCTGCAAGACATTCCTGTTGTGAAGACACATGGAGCTGCGCTAGAGCCCTGGAGCTGAAGGAGCCACGTGGAGACCCCTGCCAGCACTGAGATGCTTCTGCTGCCACTGGAACCACAAGACTTTCCACCCACTGGCCTGTGATCGTCCTGCAGTCGGCGTCATTGCATGTGTTGCGTGAGTCTGAAGAGGAATTTAAGGACTAATATTGACATATGAGGTAATATCAGACTTATGGACTTGATCTGGACTGGGCTGGGATGTTTTCTCAATATTCAATTGCTCTTGTCTATAAAACTCTTTCTTATACACACAACAGTGTCTCTGGACTTGTTTCTCTGGTCTACCCGGAGTAATACAGTTTCTTTGGGCCTGAATACATCCCTATTCAGCTCCCGTCCCTGGGTGGCACCAAGTGCGAGGGCACAGTGAAAGAAGGCCTGGCAATCTCTCTGAGAAAGGCCACAGCCCGAAACCCTCCACGGAGCGGGTCTACTCTGCAGGCGCGAGCTTGTCGGTGCTGGCACTCCCAGCATCCTCCAACGCTGGGCTTGTCGGGGCCCAGATCCACTGGAGAGTCTTCAGCGCTGGAGAGTAGTCACGCCAACACTCAATTTCGCTAAAAACATTCCAACAGATATTTCTCATCTACGGGGCAAACAGAGAACTGTAGTAGAGAGCAGGCCCCGGTGGCACAGCAGCTACTTGCTGGACCGCTACACGAAGAGGTTGGCAGTTCTTACCCACCTGGCGGCCCCGCAGAAGAAAGGTCTGGAGACCTGTGAAGACGTCCGCTGGGGGAACATCTTGGGGCTGCTCAGCTCTGTCCCACAGGGTCTCCGTGAGCTGGACTTGCCTCAAGCGCCCACAACGACATCAGGACTAAAATTCTGCATTGCTTCCATCAATGAGAACCTACATTTCCAGGGCGGAATGTAGCTCCTGAAAGCTCTCTGTTGAAATCTGAGGCCCTGAGTCTCGTTTGAACCACGGCAGTCTCATCACCCCACGCACATTTCTCTACCCCATGTTATTTCTGCTTTTACTTCCAAAGAAGCTCAATTAAGAAACCCCCCCACACCCCCGCTTTTTTCTACTTCCAAAGTTTGGGAGAAAGGCAAGGCATTCTACTCCCATAAAGAGCGACCGTCTCTGAACCCACAGGGGCAGCTCCATCCAGGCCTATAGTCGCTCTGAATCGGCATCAACCCACAGCAGTGCGTTTGGGTTTGTGGAGGCCCACAGTTCAGAGTGACCCTTAGGAGAGGCCAGATAGCCTCCTCTGGGAACCTGAGTTTCACTGTACCGAATAAAGCACGCAACCACCACACAGCTTCAAGAAGACCCGTTTGACTAATTCACGCTGAGCCAAAGCCAATACAGATCTCAACAAAATGAAATCATTTCCATAATGCCCCCCCCTCCCCCGAATTCCATAGCCTGTGGAGTTTCACACTCCGTCCCGGTGGCATTGTGGCTTATGACGTTATCGAGCTAACCACAGGGTTGGAAGTTCGAAGTCACCAGCCGACACACAGGGGCGAGGAGGCTCTCTGCTCCCCCGAGGACCGGCAGGTCCACCTTATAGGGTTGTCCTGGGTCAGACTAGACTCGATGGCAGTGAGGGCTTTTTCAATGGAGTTGTTCTCTCGAGCTTACGTGAAAATTGACCAGTCAACTCGGGATGGTGGTAAGTGGAGAGTGTCAGATAAACTGAGTTCTAGAAGGGAGAATTTTGATGAGAAGACTTCTGGTCAAGTGGGTCAGTATGTGTACGGATGGGAAGAGACATAGAGAGTCGGGGCGACTTCTCTTTTTTCTCTGGCACCAATGTCCCATACTTCTAACCAGCTCTCCTGAGCAGCCCTTTTCCATAGCTCCGTGCTCAAGGTGGGTCTTAGGACCACACCGCTCCTGTCCAGCCATCACGATTGGTTCAGAGATGCACACAGGACCCACAATGGGCCAATCAGAGCCAGCCAATGTCTGCTCTGAGCCAGCCACTAGAACGCTCCCAGAAGACACCTCTCTTCTCAGTGTCCACGTTACCCTGTGTCCTCAGCTGACTCTCACTCATAGCCACCCTACATGAGAGAGTACAATGACCTCATCCCAAAGGGTTGATGCCAACTCACAGCGACCCTGTAAGGCAGAGTAGAGCTTTCCTGGTCTTTTTCTGAGACGCTCCCTCCCACCGGGCAGCTGGTGGTTTTGAACTACCAACCTGGCAGTTATCAGCTCAACGTGTGACTCCCTACAGCCAGGGCTCCTTGGTGTGTGCTTACTGGGGGGTGGGTTGGGGGTCTAGAAGTTTACCAGTGGGCGTGGGGACTCCTTTGATTTACATAAATTACTCTTTCTGCAAAGTATGTTACTTGGGGTTAGACATTCTTAACAATAGCTCGTTAAACCAACAGTCAGTTTTTAGGTCCTTTACAACTAGAAGGGCCTACTATGTTTAAAACTAGAGACTTGCTGGCAAACTAAACGAGGCTCCAAAAACCACCACCACATCATAAATAAGCCTTGATGTCTCCCCTCCCAGGACACTGGTTGGGGTTTGTGTATTTTCAAAAACATCACAAGCTAAATATATCTGAAGTAGGCGCCCTGGTGGCGGAGTGGTTATGCAGTAGGCTGCTCCTGCAAGTTTGCAGCTGCGAACAGCGGTTCGAAACCAGCAGCTATCCGTGGGAGAAAGATGAGGCTTTCTATTCCTGTCAAGGGATACAGTCTCTGAAACCCACAGGGGCAGTCCTACCCTGTCCTATAGGGTCACCATGAGTCAGCATCAACTTGGTGGCAATGAGTTTTGGGTTTAATTATTTTGAAAAAAGGAGTTTATTTAGGACCTATTTTTCTGTTAAATGGGTTCAATCTTAGCAAAAAAAAAATTAAGACCTCTAATAAGATAGACTGACATGGTAGCTGCAACCATGAGCTACCACTTGGCAATGATTCCCAGGATGGGGCGGGACCAGGCTGGTGTCCATGTATTGTCCAGCTTTCAGGTACCCACGGCTCGGGTCAGGGCACTTCGTTCTCAAAGTGACATCCCTGCTCTTCACCATGTAAAGAGGTCCTGGGCAACAGACTTGCCCAGTGCGGTCAGTCGTTTGATGTCCTGACTGCTACTTCCATGAGCATCCTAGAGCCTACTTAAATCCAGTGTTTGCTGTTAGGACCAGCCCAGCCCAGCCCACGGTGACTGAAATCTGACTTACATAGCTTTTGCCTGCTTGACAGGATGCATGAAACACCACCCCTGTGATCAAATCTTGGATTTGGTTCCAGAGCATAGAAGAGGCCTCACCCTACCAGCTCTCATTACCAAATAGCACATGCTGTGTCCGCCTCTGTGAGGGTCCTCAAAGAGAGCCCTCTGTGGCTCACCCCACCCGCTCGCTGACCACCCTCCCGGGGGCCGCTCCCAGAAGGTCCATAAACCTTTGGACAGACTCGCGGTATAGATTTGAAAGTGTGCATCACTCACACATTATTTTTTTAAAGGCATTTTTGACCTCTTACCAAGCTCAAATTAAAACGAGCCCATGAACTACCCCTGAGGGCGGTCTCTTAGCTCCCCTCTGAGATCATGAAGACCTTCACCCTGCTTGTTCCGACTTGTGAAATCGATAATTAACATGAAAGGACACTTTGCTTCTTGAAGGCAGGAGGAAAAGGGGTACAGAAAGTCAAGGCCGTTGTTCCTGGCCATTAACTAACAGACGTGCTCATGTTGAAGATATAAACAAACAAGCCCATCCTGGTCAAACACATGCCAAAAAGTGATCAGTTAACGTTCACTCACTCACTGCCGTGAGTCGATGCCGACTCATAGCGACCCTCTAGGACAGGACAGAACTGTCCCTGTGGGTTCCAGAGACTAACTTGTTAGGAGAACAGAATGGCCCATCTCCTCCCCCCCCTCCCAGCGCAGAGGCGTTTTAAAACTGCTGCCCCTGCAGTTAGCAGCCCAACACGTAGGTAACTACTGTGCTATGTCAAGAAAGGTTCTAGCTGAACAACCCTTTTGGCACCACCCCCACCCACTTTCTTTTCCGATCCCTGGCTCTGGCAGGCACCAGGTCAGCCTGCTTCCCCGGGTAGACTCTCACAGCTCTCTCCGTGATTGGAACCGTGGCACCCAGCCTGGGTAACGGTGTGCCTCCTAGGTTTGCGAAGTGTCTTATCCTTCCATGAAACTTTCGGTCTCGATTGCTAGCACAAGGGTTCTGCTAAGGTGGGAGGAAGCCAGCACCTCCCATCCAGTAGCTGTTTCACCTTCTGTTCTTTAATGATCTGCCGCGTAAACAGCTTGTGATACCCTTGCAAAGATACGTGGCATCCAATCTCCCGTCACCCACATACACTTTACGAAGCAATTACAGCAGAAGCCCTGCTTCCAGAGAACCTGCCTTGACTCTTCCCATACCAAGCACCAATCAAAACATGATGCCTTAAAGTTCCTGGTTGCACTGTATAAAGATAGCTGTCCAGCTCCAGCCGGCCAGCAGCCTGGCTTCCTCTTGTGGGAAGCAGTGACTCCCTGGTGGGAGCTTCCTTCTCTCTCAATAAAGCTCTTCGTTACTATGTTTTGTAAAGTGTGCCCCCGGGACTCTACGGCAAATACAAAAGCACAGCAGGGCAGAGATGGAGAAAGGACCCTCAGGGCTTTGGAGGCCCCAAGTGCATTCTGGACCTTCCAGCCACAGACGTTGACAGTGTAGCCACCTAACTTCACAGGAGGAAATCTATCTTGTTTCAAACGGCCTTTAATCCCTGCTAGCTGTTAGTCCACCTTCTCCTCTTCCCTCTCAGCTCCCCCGAGAAGACCTGGACTCTTCCGAGATGTCTAGTCTAAACCCTGTCTGCCCAATTAACAAGGAAAGTACACTGTCTTAATCTAAAACCTTGAATTAGCACCTGCAGCTGTGCTGTTCCCTCCAACCCCGGGACCCTGCCGACCTGGGCTAGACTTTCCCGCCCTGTAAGCCAGCGCCCTATTTGGAACTATAAAAAGTTTGGGATTTCCTTATTCTGGATCGAGAGGTTTCCAGGCTCTAGCCTACTCTTGGTCCGGCTGTCTAATAAAGGCTTTCATGATAAATATATGGTGTGGTTGATCTTGCCCGTTTACATCGGGCAGCTTCCCTGGTAGGGCTTGCGGTGTGCTGGGGAGGTCAATTCCAAGTCACAGCGACTCCGGGGGAACAGGCAGGGCAGTCCTACCGGGTCTCCTCGCTGTAGCTCATCGTGATGGGGCCACAGAGCGGGGGCTTCCCTTCCATAGTGAGCAAATGAACGCTTAACCATTGCACCACAGCAGGGATCCTTGGGCTTAAGTGGGACCTCGGTGGTTGGTGGCATGAGCTGCCTTATCAGAAAGGCCCCGAGAGACTCTGGTAACAGCCTTTGAGCATCCCTCTTTGAAGGCTAACCTCCCGACAGAACCGACCTCACTGCCACCCCGTCAGTTCCGACTCAGAGCGACCCCAGAGGGCCGAGGAGAGCTGCCCCGGGGGGGTTCCCGAGACTGTCAATCTTGACAGCCTCGTCTTTCTCCTGTGGAGCAGCCGGTGGTTCCGACTGCCCACCGTGTGACCCGTGAGGCCGGCCAGCCTCCCTAAAAAGCTACCCGCGTGTGGCTCAAGAGCACCGAGGTTGTGGAAACGGGGAGGCGACTAAGAAACGAGTGAGGTTACGTAGATGAGGTTCTCGCGGAAACGCTTGCGCAGGTTGTCCAGAAAGGCCGCTTCGCTGGTGTACGCGTCCAGGAGCACAAAGTCCTGCACCCCGATCTTGTCCCGGGCGGTCAGGGCGCCTTCCATGTGCAGGCGGATGTGTCTCCTCCTCACCTCTTCTTTCTGGGGAGACAGAACATTCCTCGGTTCAGCCAGGTGCCAGCCGGGGATCGGACAGAGCCCACCCGGGTGGGGCTATCCAACAACAGTAACAAGAATAGCAACTGTGTCCAAGAACTGGTTCTAAACACTGACTCTGCATGAGTTCATGGGGCAGCCCTCCTTTCACCCCTGTGGCCCCTAAGCCCATGCCCTTGAAGTTGATCCGGACTCATCACCACCCTCAAGGACTGAGTAGCACTCCCTATAGCGTTTCCAAAGCAAACACCTTTCCACCGGGAAGCAGCGGCTCCTGGGTTTGAACCACCCACCTTTGGGTGAGCGGTCGAGTGCTTAGCCACTGCGCCATCTGGGCTCCTTGGACCCTAGGATGTATGTATGATAAGCATGCTGTGGCTGCATGAGTCAGAACCGCTTGAAGACAGCAGGCTTGGAACCTGGCCTTTGCCTCTGGGGCTGAGTCTTCAAACCCTCGGCTCTCAAACGAGGCTGATCGTTGGAATCACCTGAGGACCTAAGCAACTACTCTCCCGGGCGCCTCCCCGGCCTAGCCATTCAGATCCATTCGGTTGCAGGCAGAGAGCCCAGGTATGTTAGCCTGGGTACTTTAGAGAAACAAATCCACAGAAACTCATGTATAAGAGAGTTTTATAGAAAGGGTAAGTGCGCATCAAGAAAACATCCCAACCCAGTACTGCCCAAGCCCACAGTCCAACATTAACCCATTAACCCATATGTCCCTTCCCCAATCCACAAAGCCCATGAACTACCCCTGAGGGCGGTCTCTTAGCTCCCCTCTGAGATCATGAAGACCTTCACCCTGCTTGTTCCGACTTGTGAAATCGATAATTAACATGAAAGGACACTTTGCTTCTTGAAGGCAGGAGGAAAAGGGGTACAGAAAGTCAAGGCCGTTGTTCCTGGCCATTAACTAACAGACGTGCTCATGTTGAAGATATAAACAAACAAGCCCATCCTGGTCAAACACATGCCAAAAAGTGATCAGTTAACGTTCACTCACTCACTGCCGTGAGTCGATGCCGACTCATAGCGACCCTCTAGGACAGGACAGAACTGTCCCTGTGGGTTCCAGAGACTAACTTGTTAGGAGAACAGAATGGCCCATCTCCTCCCCCCCCTCCCAGCGCAGAGGCGTTTTAAAACTGCTGCCCCTGCAGTTAGCAGCCCAACACGTAGGTAACTACTGTGCTATGTCAAGAAAGGTTCTAGCTGAACAACCCTTTTGGCACCACCCCCACCCACTTTCTTTTCCGATCCC